GCAGCCCAGTCTGTTGTCGGCGAAGCCTGTTGCTGTCAGCAGATCGATCGAACGGTGGGGCCGGGGGGAGCCGGGCCGGGGCGTGGGGAGAGCTCGGCAGAGGCACGGGTGGTCTGTGAGGAGCTGGAAGGAGATCTGGGGCACCCGCCGCCATGAGGAACCCTGAGCGTTGTCAGTCCAGGCTGGGTAACGTCTTGCCCCAAAACGGCCGTCTGGCCGTGCCGTTCCCGGGTGCACTGGTGTGAGGGAAGCACCCACCTGGAAGAGGTTGAAGCTCAGTGAAGTGCATCTTCACATGGCAAAGGTCCCCACGTGCTTAATCCATTTGAAAACAATGGGAGCTCAAAGATGGTATTCGTGACATTCGGGGGGGAAACAGGTTTGGTGTCTCTCTGAAAATACAAAAGGTCTGACTGCAGGTGTGCAGCACTGCAGTAAACGGTGCTGGCTTCAGTGAAGGCTCGTGCGGTGACACTCGATCACAGCCATTGGTGTTTTCATCCTATCTCAGCATCATTTCTGGAAACGGCTTGGCTTTTCCCCAGCAGGGTTCTGTTGAGAAATGCCTGCGCAGATATGACGTCCCTGAAGATGTATAGTTTCTCTTTTGATAGCAATAGACACCTGATGAGGAATAAATTCAGCACCGCTGAATATTACTCTCTCTGTGGATGGCTGAGAGGAGTTCAGCAGCCCCTCCTCACTTGTATTGCCAGAGTTATGCCTACAGGAAACTCCTCTGCCTCTTCATGTCGCTAAATCCTGCTCTGTCCAACATTTCTCTGAGATCGTTTCCCATTTTGCCTACAACCACTCCACTTTTGCAGAGCAGACCAGCACACTGCAGCAGACAGAGCCGTATCCCATCCCTACAGTGGAGCAAATCCAGCCCACCCTCCCTTCAGGTGCCTCCAGCCTGGTTTCTCTGTGAGCTGTTTGCTGCATGGCCAGCTTTGGGAACCTCTTTTTCTTTTTCTGCTGCCATTTTTCCAAGCTTCGTGTGCTGCTCGGGACTGGCTGGGCTGAAATCGCTATTTTCCTCTGCTCTCGCCTTCCTGACCTCAGAGGAGGTGCAGAAGTACAGGCCTCACGTGGACGACTTCTTCCTGCTTGAACATGGGAGGCAGATGAAAACTGGTTTAATTCAGGGAAGGGTTTAGTCTCTCAGCCTGTTCTCTGCTATGCATAGTTAAAAATGGGTGTATTATCAAGAGCTAATGAGTTCAGACACGTTCCTAACATAGGAAATGGGAGCATCAGGCCAGTCCAGTGTGTGCCCAAAATCTCTCTTCAAGCCTATTGGCTACTGTGAGAGAGATGCGCTAGGTTATGGCTTTCAGGCACCTTTTATTTTATAATAAAAATGTGAGTGTTAGGGATTGTTTGTTTGTTTAAAAGGCATTTTATCTCTCAGAGTCTATTAGTCCTGTGAAATTCTCTGCACAAGCAGCCTAGCAGTGAGAGAAGGGCAAGGCACTTAACCAGTGCCAAATGAGAGATATGGAGCTGGTCTGCTTTATCTTCTCTTTGCAAGTTTGTCCTCCCTTCACTGAGACTTTGGCTGGGTATCCACCAAAACACTGCAGTTGTGTGGGGTCAGGAGGGGTGGCAGAAGGCAAATTTGAGCCACCTTGATGTCCATCTTAAATGTCTCATCAGGGAGGTGGGACTGACCCAAGTCTGAAATCAG